ATGTGGACAACATCCGGATACAGGTCGCATGTTAATGCCAAGTGTAAACGCAGCCATGGATTATTTTACAGATCTCCTTGCTATGTTTCTGGACTTGGGAACATTTCAGTTGCGTTGCTGTCTGTGCAGGGTCAGACAGCTCTCAGATTATATATTATATACACAAATATTTGTGTTCCGAAGATGAACGAAGGTCTTACGGGTTTGGAACGACATGAGGGTGAGTAATTAATGACAGAATTTTCATTTTTGGGTGAACTATCCCTTTAAATTTTAAGCGGTAAAGCAAAATAATGCAACTTTTAAGTTAGCCTAACAAAATTGTCTAAGTGATTCAGTTGCTTCAGAAAGTAACATGGCAGTGAAAAGCAATTCAGTTTTGGCTATAATAAACTGAAAGTACATATGCTGTTTAACTTGCATTTTTATACTGATAGAAAAAGGTAAATAAGAAATGAATAATAATTTAAAAATGATACAGAAGACCAATCAGATATTGTAAGCCTGGAAAATTCAACCTGTTCCTGAACATATACTGAAATTCAAGTAATAGCTTGCTCAATTTGAGACATGTTTTCATACTTTCTTACAAATTTCACATCAAACTTACGTTTAATCTCCACAAGCATGTGTAATTAACAGGCGAGTGAATCTAATCTAATTCTTATGGCCTGTTTCAGGCTACTTAATGTTGGTCAGTGAGAGTGCAGAGCTGATGGATGAATAATTAACTACAGCTCCCTGATCATGTGTCCGTATCCACCCTTCAGGTTTAGGTCCAAAGATTATATGCAAAGTAAGAGCAAATAATGCAGCAATCACACCAGTTAAACACTGAGCACTGCTGGTGTCTTCATTATCATTAGTTTACAATGATTCAAAGAGCATCCCGAGCTTCAGTGGAAGCCAGAACATCTGAGAGTTTGCCTGATCAATGCTCAAAAACTTTCTTATTTTATTAGTGGTCTAGAAATGGTTGATAATAAATGCCCTTATCATGCATTCATCTGCATTGTATGATCTGATGAAAGACTGTAACCACATTTATTATACATTATAATACTTATCTATTCGTTTTTACATCTTTAGAAAGTATAACGCATCAAAACAAATGACAAACAACCAGTTTCAGATGTGGCAAAGAATCTGCAAATGATAAAATGCATTTTAACTTAGGTTACAATTATTCCTGAAAAGATTTAATGCATTAAAATATATTATATTGCATTGAATTTTTACAAATGTTTAAAACTGTAAAAACCCCTAAAACGGCATTTTTCCAGGTTTTTCCAGACTTTTGGTCCCCCATTTGTTCCCATTTTAATCATGAAAATCTGTTGCGCTAGTTAACATGAAGTTAACCTGAATTGCATTTAACACTCACCTAAGCCCAGTTAATTTGATTATCATGAATATGTTGCTAATTATGAAAAATGCTTGGATAAAGGTATCTATACCAAACAAATAAATGTAAACATATGCCAGCAATATCAAAAAAAAAAATTTGAAAAGTTTTTTTGCACTTTTTATTTGACCCATACACCACAATTTCACCATCTTCTTGGAAGACAACAGCATTTCTTTCCCTACGTATCATTATTTTATTTTGGCCAAAAATGGCGTTGGTCCAAAAGCAAAGCAGTACAGCACAAAGAGACCACAAGAAATCGTTACAAACAATAACGACAGAGGAAGATTCACAATCATTTCATGAGCCAGCTGTCTGTGCGTGTCTCAACTTTGACCGCAGAGAACAATAGTGGCATATACTGCAAAAAAAGACGAACTGAGAGCAGCAGACATTACCGATGCCAGATGAAATGAATTAGATGTAGGACCGCGACTCACAACAAGATTGTAAGACTGTGCTAAGTATACAGTATAAATTAAGTACCAATATGATCAACATGACATGCTAGAGGATAACCTGCTGGAAATGTCAATGCTACAACCTCCAGTGAGCTCAATTTGACACTTGATGGAACAGCATGCACATGTGAACTATGCCGTATGGAGGGATTCGGCTACTAGATGATGTATTTCGTGGTTGCAGCTGAAGTACTGAGCTAATTAAGAGCTCAGGGAAGGTTTGCACTGCTGATCACAGAAACACCAACACTTAGTGCATTACCAGAACGAAAAAATGAGATGAAATTCTGCGGTACAACAGGAATGTGTTGGAGAATATTGCCCATTCATTGGGTTAAGCAGCTGAGCAGATCTCTCTCATTATTCTGCTATTAAATGAATGGTTGAACCTGTCAAGAATGTGTCCGGATCATGCTTCATTCTAAAATTCAAAGAAGGAAATAAGAAATTCTATTTTGCAAAATGATGCTGTTTTTGTCGCATTTTGAAATTATCTTCATGACAATTTTGCTGAATTATCATTATAGCAATGCATATAGCACTATAGCAAAAATGTAAAGCATTTATATGTAATAGTAATATATATATATATATATTTATTAGAGGTTGTGTTTAACTGTCATGAAAGAAATATCACAATGCAAAAAAAAAGGTTTCATGTTCTTTATGCAAAATATGATTTCTTATTTTGGTAAAACATGACCAAATCATTGTGAGATTCACCTTATAATGGATTTTCAGACTTTGGAATAAGGAGGATAGAGGAAAAATGCTTGTATGGAAAACACATTCGTACAGACATTTATTGGCACAGTTTAACGAAATGGAACGTTTTTCAATCCCTGAAATTGGGAATGTTAAATGGAAACCTGTCTCGGAGAGCAAAACCTGTGGCTTCAACTCTGCCAAAGCATACAATACAAAGCATCCAATGCAGCTGGTTCACATCATGCTGGAAATTAGGGCCTGTGTTTTTAAGGTACCAACACATAAATTTCAGCCCATAGAGAGTTAGCCATTTCTAAATGATTTATCAGTACTAAATGCGGAAATATATATGAAGGCCATCTACACAAATTGGCAATCTGATTCAACTACTGGACACAAAATGATTCTCGTATTTCTTGGACTGTGGATTAGTTCAATCTGGAATAAACATAGTGTTGCTGACCTAATTACTACACATCCAAGCGCTCTGATCCAAACAAGATTAAGACAATTTAGTGGCATTTAAGCGTCGGAACCAAAGAGGACTCAAGAGAGGAAATAAACAAGATCATCAAAACAAAAGCACGAAGGAATGAACGAGTGACTGGGTCTCCGTTTGAGGGTAAATATGGTGGTACAGAGCGAGTGTGTGCTTTTCTGTTGATTGTTTTTGGCATGTGGCATGGCATTGAGACACTGAAGGGGGACAGGCAGGCCTCCCTTTGGGAATGTGGACATGGACCAGGGGAGGGAAGAGGATGATGGTTGCTACCAGGTTTGGCTCTCATGCAATCTTCAGAAACTGTTCCACTGTGTCTGCCTCCACCGCCTCAGAAAACATCTCGTAGTTCTGAATAACAGAAAAACACACACCATATGAGTTTCAGTATATCTATGCAGGCCTGAAACCAAATTCATCTGATAAAAATAAATAAATAAAAAGGAAAAAAAATACTGTAGGCTTGCCATTGAATAACTTAATTTGTACACAAGAAATAAATTATATTTAAAGGAAAATTTTAAATTCATTATTTAGCAAGAATGTTGGCAACCAAACAGTTCTGATTCCCATTGACTTGCATAGTATTATTGTCCCCGTACTATGGAAGTCAATTGGAACCAGAACTGTTTGGTTACCAACATTCTTCAAAATATCGTATCTCTCAAATGGACCATTGGCACTCCTAATTGAGTTTGTAGATAGAGTGTCAATGGTCCATTAAAAAAAACGATATAAATACTGTTCAGTTTCTTGCACAGACCGATCGTTTCGTGTCTTTACACATCAATGTATCGTCACGAGCCGCAGGGTTTAATTTGGGTTTGTTTATGTTTGTTTTTTTTTTGTTTTATTGTATGTTTTAGCCGTGATTCCCATTCACCTCCATTATAAGACTGACAGACTGCAACGGTTTGAGTTAAAAATAGTTTGTGTTCTACTGAAGAAACAAAGTCACCTACATCTTGGATGCCCTGGGGGTAAGCAGATAAACATCACTTTTTCATTTTTGGGTGAACTATCCCTTTAAGCAAAAAACACCCCATCAGCAGTCCTCCTTACCCCACAGTACTGGTCTTCATTGAATATCTGAGGTGGGATTGCCGTGGGGTTGCCTGATTTACTCCTCATCTCATCCCGAACAGCACCGCCCACCGAGATGTCAATCAGCTCATACTTGATGCTCTTACTTTCCAGAATACGCATCACCTCGGCCTGCTGAGACTTGACCTGGGAAACATGGAAAACGTAAGTAACTGTGCTTTTCTTTCCTGGCGCTGCTCTTTTGTTAAATAACTGAGCTGAGCTGTTGTCTCATTTGCATTTTTCAACTCAGCCGTAACATTATTCAGATTTAGCTCAAGAGAACTAGAAACTAGAAAAAAGATACACAAGATACAGTCTAATGAAAGGAAGTGTTTTTCAATAAAATAATTTACAGGGCAAAAGCAATAAAAATTTGAATGCATCTTTACACTACTTCCTGAAAAGTCACGTGATCATGTGAGAACATTATGGAGGAAGGTTATTTACTTGTTTCCATGCAGCAAATGCATTATAAACATTCTTTTCATCTTCGTCTTTTTACCAACCAAATCAAACCATGCATTGCACGAAAAGGTACAGAAAAGTGTACTTTGATTTAACCGACAGTGTTTTCAACTACAAAATTTTGAGTTGATGATTAATAATGAAACAATAGACAAAGCTATATTCAGGAAGTTGGGTCATATCTGCAGAAACCACACCTTGGCTTGAGCAAAGCACCAGTTAAAAATTAAACAATAACCTACATTAAAATGGTAAAAGATAATTAGGGCTTTATAGTGGATTTCAATGCAAATCTCACACATTAAACATGTTTCCGACAATCCTTTCAGCATCCGCACTGGGTGACCCATTATTTACCATTAGTAGCCTATTTAATACACCAGCCTGCCGCAAGCTCTCTCCCTGCTGCCTTATTGTTATATTATTTCATTTGCTTTGTGTGTGTGTGTGTGTGTGTGTGTGAGTGAGTAATAATATAATTTTTTGCTATTATTAGTAGTAATATTAGTAGTAATATGAGTAATAATAATAATATTTTTTGCTATTATTAGTAGTAATTTTAATGTAAATTGTAACATGCAAGTAAAATTCCATGACATGCCAACTGCTGTAAAACTCCAAAGAAGAAGAAGAAGAAATTCCATGACATGGTTGGTCATGTGATCTCAACATGGTGGCACGCATGAGGGGGCGACCCCACTACATGTAGAATAATTGATTTTATTTCCATTACTTCGAAAACTTTAAAAACAAAACATGAGTGTACACTTTCGATATGTTCTGCTATATGCCCGTGATTATAGAAGTCCAACAAAATCAGTCGTGTATCAAACCGCATTTTTTTCTTTATTCACAACAGATGTGCACAGACTCAAAGCTGCGATGCAACTGTCGCGTGCAACAACAGCTCAAGTATACATCGATTCAGTCTCAATTGCTAATATGGCGCGTACAGGATTTAAAGAGGACGTATATTTACGCGCAAAACAAATAGTTTATAAAGGTCACACTCATGCGACAGTAGTGAGAGAATAACTACATTGAACACAGACAACGTGACTTCCGCCCTCAATCCAATGCACATCATCCTTTCAGCATACAAACACAGAACCTACAAACCACTGCGCTTTGCAATCGCTTAAAACGTTCGAGTGCCACAATAATGTCGTAATGCATTTCTACGCGCTCTATGTCGCAATAGCGTTTAAATGTGGATAGATAGATGTGTGTTAACGGAGCAGTTGGGTGTGTCTGGAAGCCTAATCCTCCATTTCAAATGTATTTAACTCTGCATTCTTCACATGCACGGCTCACTTACTGAGGCCACAGGTTTATTCTCACCTCTCTCGATGCAGTGACGGTGGTGTAATACAGTTTGATGCCCATAGCGGTGGATCGTAATGTCCCTTTGTGTTTCTGAAGGCGATCAGTTTCCGTTCTGTTGCTCTAAAGTCGCTGTTTCACCGCCGACACCCAGTCACTCATTTAAAGAGACAGCGCCTTATTGCTGCATAAGGAAATACGCTGAAGATGAAATCGGCGGCCCTTTCTTTCCCTCATGAACATAGTTTAACAATAACTATCAATAACAATAGACTATAATTTTTTATTTATTTGGCAAAAAAATACACGTTATTTTTGTCTTTGTTGGATTCTCAAACTTTGTTGTACTAACGAATGTGAACAGTTAAGGCTATTTTGTATTTACAGTAGGCTACTCTGTTATATTTAAATGTTTTATGTAAATACTTTAAAGGGATAGTTCACCCCCCCAAAAAAGGATAGCCTAATTCTGTCATCATTTTTTTTTCATTTCTTCTGTTGAACATTAACTTCCGGAATGCCATCCATCAACTGTTTGATTACCCACATTCTTCAAAATATCAGCTTTTATGTTCAACAGATGAAAGAAACTCACAGGTTGGGATCAACTTGAGGGTGAATATTTTTGGGGTGTACTATCCCTTTAAAATATGCATCAACCCTGTTACCATAGTCCCCCTTGTTAAACTGATGTACAATTCCATAATCAAAACAACTCTGCCGTCATGCCATCATGGATGAATATCATCATTTAGGATGTGAACTCTTCATCTCCTCTTTTATTATGATTTTTTTTTTCTAGGGGCCCATTTTAAATAGTCGACCCTTTTCCCATGATTTTATACATTAAACAACTGACTACAGAAACTATTGAACCACTGCATATTTTCCTTTCCAAACAAAACCCCATTTAGAACAGTCATAATGGAATATTACGTGAACATGCTTTCTTTTTTATTCCCGTCTACATTCAGTGGCAGAGAGGGGCTTAATATTGATATGTGTGTTGTTATTGCTTAACATCTTTTGTTGATATTTCACTGTACGTTCTCCCTGAGATGATGTCTCGGGTTTGGTGTCAGGAGTTACTCAACACAGAGCTAACCGATATTCTTACTGCTTAATTACACAATTCTTTCACGTATGCAAACAAGGAAACAGGAAATTAAGTGAAAAGACATGTACATGTGTACACTGACCCAAATGCCCACAGTAACAGTTCTGAAAGAGGAAGTTCCCCCCTCAGATAAAGTTGATCAGTGTGTTGGCAGCAGGGAGTTTTGCTCCAGTCCAGTCGCACGGCCATGCACTATGCATCATACATTTTCCAGGAAGCTGTCAACGGTTTCCTGTTGTACAGTCCACACGGGACATTCAAGTTCTGCACAGATCTGCCTGACCTTTGCATTTTTGTGCTAACAAAATGTATCCAAATATAAAACTGACCACTCCAAAGAAAACACAAGAGGGCAGTACAGCCTCACTTTGAGTGTTTACTCAAACCACGTGACCATCTCCAAACAAGGTGGCCTTTCTTTCACAGAATGTTCTAGTCGGGCCCAGGTTTGCAAGATACAGGGATGGAAGCACCTACAAAACAATCAAGTGATAGAAATGTGTTAAGAATGTGCAGCATGTAGTATATAGCATACTACTATCTACTAATTCAAGAAAGTAGCAGTTGGTTTTACATATTTATTTTGTAATCATTGCATTGTAATTCATATATGGTTAAAACAGTAGAAGGCATTATACACTGTGGAATAGTATTTAGTGCTTTAATTAAGGATCCTAATCAGAAAAGGCAATTGCTGAGTGTCCCTTTTACATAAACATAAAAAAATAGAGTAACACTAGGAAGAAGGATACTTGGAAAAAGAGAACAACAGTTACAAATGTTGACCTGGTGAAAACATAAATTATTTCTACATTGCCTTTTCCTTTAACATCCACATACATGACCCGGGTTTATACTGTAAGTAGGCACTGGTTTGGTGCAATAACACTATGAAGAAAATCAGTACAAATGGTCATTCAAAGCAAATACAAGCAATCTCAGTAATACAGTGCTACTGTTCGTTATCAGTTACACGAGATGTGTGTGATATGAATCATCTAAAATGCTCATTAAGGCACAGCAGTGATCATGATTGCATTGGTAATACTGTCCCTCTTTAGAAGACATAGAATAAACATCTCAGAATCATAGAAATTAAGACAGATTGTCATTTTGTTTTACTACCTCAAAGCCAATATGATGACTGACAATATAACATTGTGTTCGTTTGTTTACATAAAAAAGACCGCATTCATAACACAATCTACAATTTAGAATTTACATACTTCAAGTAAAATCAGACATCTAAACACCTAAATATTGATATATCTTTCCATATTCTCAATACTGCACGCTGGTTTCTTTAGTGTGTACTTGCTGGCTGGTCAGTACAAATGGTCATTCAAAGCAAATACAAGCAATCTCAGTAATACAGTGCTACTGTTCGTTATCAGTTACACGAGATGTGTGTGATATATATGAATCAAAATGCTCATTAAGGCACAGCAGTGATCATGATTGCATTGGTAATACTGTCCCTCTTTAGAAGACATAGAATAAACATCTCAGAATCATAGAAATTAAGACAGATTGTCTTTTTTTGTTTTACTACCTCAAAGCCAATATGATGACTGACAATATAACATTGTGTTCTTTTGTTTACATAAAAAAGACCGCATTCATAACACAATCTACAATTTAGAATTTACATACTTCAAGTAAAATCAGACATCTAAACACCTAAATATTGATATATATTTCCATATTCTCAATACTGCACGCTGGTTTCTTTAGTGTGTACTTGCTGGCTGGTTTGTAACTGAAGTATGGTACATCACAGGAACGATATTAAAGGGACAGTTCACCCCCCAAAAAATGGAAATCCTGTCATCATTTACTCTCCCATAATCTTCAAACCTATGTGACTTAATTTCTTTTGTGGAAACAAAAGCGTGGTTACCAACATTCTTCAAAGTACCTGCCTTTTGCTCTTCTGTAGAACAACGAAAGTCATGCAGGCTGAGCGAATGATGACCGAATTCGAATTTTGGAGTGAACTATCGCTTTAACAGAAGCAGTTCATTAAAAACACATTCAGAAATACTAACATGATCGGTTTGAACATTAAGCATTTGCTCAAAGTTCAGTCCTTGAACAGCACATACAAACACAGTCATAACCTGATCCCTAACCTAACACTGTAAAATCGAATTTGATGATAGGAATGTTGTTACAGGACCAACAAGAATATTGATCCAGAAACATGCAGAATCACTGTTAGCTAAAGGCTATGTGGGCTTGAATAAACCTTTTCATCAGATTTCATCAGCCTATAACTCTAATACTCCTTGGGAGCGTGCTGACCATCCACCATTCAAGTGCAGGACAAACTACTCCTATTCTTTACTTCGTTTTTCCCTGTAATCTTTTTACTTTCGCGAGCATATACAAGGCTATCAGAGCAGAGGTGATGAGTGTTAAAATGAAGAGCGCAACAAAGAACAATGCCTCGCCATCAGCATGGAGTTTCACATAGAAGTCTCTGCGGTTGAAGTAGTCCAAATGTGAAGCGTGGATCTGGCAGACTGTACACAGAACCATCAGCACGTGGAATACCTGATGACCCTGACCTAAGAAGTCACAGTGACCTGGGAACCAGCGCTCGGGAACAGGCTGGGTGAAGAAAAAAGCGCTGGAAAGAAAAAACGCCACCTGGCCGAAGTGAAAGAGCAGTGCAGGACTGTTTCTGAAATCGCCCCTCATCCAGGACAGAAACCAGATGACGAAACGATGAAACACAGGGCTGGTGTCCCAGCCATAAGCGACGGCTGAAGGCACCACTTGGCCTACTTTGCGAACCCAGGGAGGAAGGCTGTAATTGCGATATTTCCCATAACAGCAGCCGAAGCAAGACAGGCAACACAAGAAGCTAGCAATAGGCATGAAACAACCTCGTACACGTGCGTGCCAGCTTTCCTCAATGGCGTAGTAGTAGTGCACCACTGCACTTCCATACTGATACAGTGCCACTCCTACGTAATCCAGGTAGAAGAAGCCGTAATGGCAGATTTCAGATTTCGCCGCCAACAGGTGGGCCACGGTGCTGAAGGTCAAGTAGCTCGCTGAGGACAAGAGCAGGATGAAAAGCGGCCAGGAATGAGGGTCGTTCATGAAATCGACGGTTTCGGTAAGCCGCGTAGTTCTCGCAAGGACCACTAGCACGCCGATTAGGTGCGTCCACACATTTATGGTCTCGTTGTGCCGCTGTAAGAGCGAAAGGAAGTAGTAGCGCCAGTTCTGGTGCAGCGGCCGGTAGCCAGAGTGAATGTAGCGTTCACGGAAAAACCAGGGCACCTCCGTGTCACGCAGGGTGTCGGCCGTGGAGGGTAAGGCCTCGGTGAGCATCTGGGGAACTCGCCCCACCTGCTGCAGATTAATGAAGAGTCGGCCAATCCGCTCCATAACGATTGTCGCCATGGTGATCTCTGGAGTAGCGGAGGATGGGAATTTACAGGTCAGCCACACAATAGTCCAGGCCAGAACTGAGCACACACTGGCGTATCTGGGAATTCAAAGGAAAAATATATGTGAAGGGCGGTGAAAGAATGAATATTTTGCCCATTCTCACACATAATAAGGTATAACAGGTACCTGACAAATAACATCATGATTCTAAGTTAAAATGTATACATATTATTAATATTTCTGCTTTTTTTTTTTACAGTTCATTTAAATACTTCTGTAAGAGAAAAAAATATTTTTAAAAGTACAAATATTCATCTATAACAGGGCTGCACAATTAATCGAATTTCTAATCGCGATTACAATTATGGTCTATAGCAGTCTCGATTACAATCATCTGATAAAAAAAATTTACTTTGATAATTTACAGAAGAATTAGAAAATTAAATAATACTGTAGATAAATATAACTCTATAAAGATAAAGTTTTAAAAATCGTTCTAATTCTAGAGAATAGCGAAGCACACACAGCTATGAAGATACAGAGGAACAAAATAGTTGAAATTACTTTCAGACCATTTTTTTTTCCAGCTGATGAATGATAAAAAACATTGAGAGCCAATCAGAATCCATCCGACTTTAAAAGAGTTGAGCTTTATAGTTATCATTACAGTCATCTTTATAGTTATCATTCTTGGCGTGAACGGGTCTTACCCAAGCTACCCAAGCTTTACACTTTCTTCAAATGAGGATGTTCTGATAAAGAAACGGGAAGCATCATCTATGACATTCAACCCCAGTTCCTGTAGTAGTAGTTGAACTGAGGGGTTTTGGTAAACAGAAATATCTATATTTTAAGTTATTTATATAAAACTGTCAGTTTATTACAGATATATATTTCAAACTATCATTAAAAGTCTTCTTTCATGTTCAATTTAAGAAAGAAATACACATACACTCTAAAAAATGCTGGGTCAAATATAACCCAGCGCTGGGTTAAAAAGGGACAAACCCAGCTATTGGGTTGTTTTGACCCAGCTGTTGGGTTGTTTTGACCCAATATTAACACAGAAGCACGCGAGATGCGCCACACAGTCCAACATCAAAACGACCACAGAATGGAAAAGCACTGCAAGAGACGAGGCTTGTTTACCTTTTTTGGTGTCTTCCGCGAATCTGACACCGCAAATAATTTCGGTGTGGAAACTGGCTGGATATTATCCGACCGAGCTGTTCTCTTCCTCATATGTTTCTCGGTAGTCACGCCTCTTGTGAGCGAGAGAGAGAAGACTAGACTGAGGGACCCGATGAACGCTGTCAAATAATATCAACATATCATCGCATTTCTGCGGTAAATCCATGCTGATACGGTTGTTTTGATATTACGGTTAAAGTTTACAGAGAAGATGTAGCCTAAAAAACTAAAGCAGTAAAAAAGCGAAAGTAAGAAAGCGTAAACACGGCTAAATATTAGGTTGCTATTTATTAGCTTAAAGGTAGCTATATAAAAATAAAGATTTGGTTTTAACAGAGGCAGATTGAATTTACTTTTTTGTGCCTTTATTGTTTTAATGCAGAAGTTCACTTCTGTGTGTCAGAATAGTGGCCTAACACATGCAGTCTAGATTCATGTTGTTTTGTGTCACAGCCTGTGTTTTCTCAGGACCTAATTTCAATGATACCTGTCAGGTATTAGGGACATTTTATGTGTAGTGTTTTAGCCACTTTAAAGAGCCCGTGAGACCCTGTGTATAGAGTGTGTATTTTGTATTTTCAGTATTGACTACAATGGCATCAAACCAAAAAGAAAATGTTCTTCAAGACCAAACAAAAATTAATGATCAGCCCACAGAGTCGTGGTAAGTCTTGTCGTGCTCTCTCCTGCCTTGTCTTTTCATGGTCGCCGTGATTTTGCCAAGTAAGACATCTTTTGTTGATCCTGGATCAACATTACTGTCCAAAAATACAGACTTAACCCAATCCCCACCCCTAAACCTAACCTTACCCATAATTTATTCCTAAAATCTGATTAACAAGGGTGTAGAAGCACCTAATCCTGATTGTAAGCCTAAAACTGACATTTCCTGAAAAGTTCTCTCTCAATTGATTGGAATGATGTTCTTGGATCAACAAGGATGTTGATCCAGGAACATGTTGTACTTGGTCAAATCACGCTCACCGTCTTTTCATATGGTATACAATCACACTGAACACATGTCTGACACATTTCCAGCTCTTCACTCGGTGTTGAAGAAACTCCTAAAGAGGAGATCCAAACTTTGAAGTCTTCACTGCAAGAAAGCTTAAGAAAGCGATATGAAGACACTCTAAAGGCTCCAGACGACATTCCTCTGAAGATGTATGTGTCAAACAGGACACATTTGGATGGCCAGATCGTCCATGAGATGCGTGAGCTGGAAAGACCCCACAATGAGGACATTAAAGATGAAAATGCCATTAATTATGATGATCTCCTGAAGCCTCATTCTTCTACAGACGGGCGTATCTGCAGCATTATGATGAGAGGAATATCTGGATCTGGCAAGTCAACAGGCGTGAGGACATTTATATTAGACTGGGCACGTGGCAAAACACACCAGCACATTGATTTTGTGTTTCCTCTTCACCTGTGTGAGCTGAACATACTACATGACAAGAAACTCAGCCTGATGCATCTCTTAGATTTGCTCTTTCTAAAGTTACTGAAGCCAGAGACCCTCGAACGATCTCAGATCCTCTTTATATGGGATGGACTTGGTGAATTTAGATTTCCTCTTTATTTTAAGCACACCAAGACATGCACAGATCCAATGACACCGGTTTCTGTCGGCTGCATGCTGGTGAATCTTCTCAAAGGGAACCTTCTTCCCTCTGCCCAGATCTTGGTCACTTCAAGGCTAAAAGATGCAGGTCTAATTCCTCCAGAACATATACAGAGGGTGGTTGAACTTCATGGGCTTGATGACTTACAGTGGGAGGAACAGATCAGAAGTGAAGTGCGTGATCAAAACGTTGCCGCAAGAGTGACTGTTCACGTGAAATCATCCAGAACCCTGTACATCATGCGCTCCTTGCCATTCTTCTGTCAGATGGCTTCCACTGTTTTGGAAGAGCTTTTTAGTAACAGTTGCAACACAGATCCTCCTCTCACCCTGACAGAGATGTTCACACATTTTCTCCTGATTCAAATGAAGAGACAAGTGGAAAAGTCCACTAAATCAGGCACTGAGGAGATCCTGAAGTTGGGTAAGTTGGCTTGGCACATGCTGGAAAAGGACACGTTGACCTTTATGGAGAAGGACCAGAGAGAAACCAATACTGATCCTCTTCTTCCTGTCAAACTCTCTGAAGATTGGCCCATGTTTTTCAGAAAACAGAACCTGATGGGTTTAGAGAAAATGTACCGCTTCACGCATCCCAGCGTCCAAGAGTTCCTGGCAGCATTGTATGTTGCTGTGCATTATGAACCCAGCAAGGGAAATGTAATGTCTTTTACACTTGCAGAAAAAGCTAAAAAGCTGCTCAGTCCTACAGCTGATATGCACAGAAGAGCAGTAGATAGAGCTTCAAGGAGCAAAACTGGCCAACTAGACATCTTTCTCCTCTTTCTCTTGGGCATCTCTGCAGGTCCAAGCCACAGGCTCCTGTCCTGCTTTTTTCAAAATACATCTCTTCATGTAAGAACAGAGGATGTAGTCAAAAATATTTTACAGAAAATCAAGGCAAAGCCATTATTTGAGATCTCAGTTAATCTCTCTCACTGTTTGGAGGAGCTTGACGTAGCCCTGCCTGTGGTTCACAATCGAGGCCGGGTTGAATTTCAAATGGATGAGGATGTGCACGTCACTCCTTCAGAGTGGTCACATATAGCCACTACTCTGCTGACCTCTGAGGATTCATCACTGACATTTGATGTCAGGAAATACGCTAATGCAGATGAAGCCATTATGAGACTGCTGCCCATCATCAAGATCTCCAGAGTCCTCAGGTGAGCACAGCGAGAATATGTTTGTTTGTTTGTGTGTGTGTGTGTGTGTGTGTGTGTGAGCCCTTAAAACATTTGATAATAAAGCAATAAGCCCCAAGAAGCCGTGGTTTACAGTGAATTTATAACAGCTAAGGGGCATTGTTAGGCACGACGCGAAGCAGAGTATTTTTCCACCAAACAATGTAGTTCCTCAGAAACAGTTGTGGTTCCAGAATCAAGGACCGGAACTATAAGTTTTATAAAGGTTCACTTAGTATTTGATTTTCTCAGTAAAGTGTTTAATGTGCAAATAAATTAATTGTATGTTTGAAAAACATTCATAATGATGTATAACAAGACTCCAATCGCATCATTATTCTAATCATAGTTGTTATATTTATACTCTGCACCTTCTCTCCTGAAATATATTAAAGGGGTCATATGATGCGATTTCAATTTTTCCTTTATCTTTGGAGTGTTACAAGCTCTTGGTGCATAAAGAAGATCTGTAAAGTTGCAAAGACTAAAGTCTCAAATCCAAAGAGATATTCTTTATAAAAGTTAAGAGTTAACCACACCTACCTAAAACGGCTCGTTCTCATTTCTCCAATGCTATCAGTAGCTGAAAACCGCCACTACATGTAGGTGTAAGTTCTAGATGCCTGCAGTATCGGCCAATGCAGCATAAACAAAAAATACTGAGTGCAACTTTAACATAAATGAAAATTCAGGATGTTCAGTGTGTATAAACAGATGCCTAAACAACATGAGACGTCATTTATTTTAGCATTTTACATCAGTTAACCTATACATTTTTTTCTACCTAAGACTGGATGAGGCCACAGATCTGAGCTGGGCACTGATCGCCTCAGCTCTGAGATCACCAGCCAATCGTATCAGAGAGATCGACATCGAGAAGAAGGCCCTCAGTTATATAAACTTGAGCCTGTTATCCGTTGGTATGAGAAGCCCTAATTGCAAAGTGGAGATATTCGGGTGAGTCCATACAACAGCAAATGAAACAGGAACAACTTCCTCCAGTTATTACTCCTCATAGTTCTAAAGTGTTGGGTAACACTTTAGATTAGGGAACACATATTTACAATTAACCAAGAGTTTTCCCTCAATAAACTCCTAATTTGCTGCTTATTGATAGTAAGGTAGTTGTTGTAGTTGTTAGGTTTAGGTATAGGGTTTGGTTAAGGGATCTAGAATCTGGTCAGCAATAATATGTGCTGTGTAAGAACTAATAAATGGCCAATATGCTAGTTATATGCATGTTAGTGAGCAACTAGTTAACAGTGAATACTGTTCCCTAATCTAACAAGTTACCGAATGTTCTCTTTTGTGCCCTTTGCAGCAATCCTGAGAATGAATCGTTATGAATTGTAGTCAGAATACATTTTGTAACACAACGCACACACACTCAAAATGGCTCAAAACTGTAACCGAGTTGGTGTTAGTTGCTAAGCTAATAATGCATTGTTTTAATAAATAATAAGAGCTCTAATAAATAATATGTCCACTGAAATATGGGGTAAAATTACACATTTTAGTTCAAATAAACCATTTTAGCAATAATTTGCAGTAGTAAAGAAATATAATCAATATTTCTGTGTCTTGGATAATATTTTTCACAGTCTTGGATAATTGTTTTGACTAAGCAGTGCCTTCTCTGTGAAGGATACATCCGTTAAATCAGATCTTCACACCAAGGCAGTCTTAAAATCCATATGACATTACATGAAAATAAAACAATATCTCTTATCTGATTTCGGATAATTTCTGTTAAAATCATATCCAGTTGGTATTTGGCATACATTCATCTCTGATTTAAAAAATCTTAAACTCTATAAAGATAATCGAGTACCTGCATCATCTTTCTTTACAATATTCTCTTTAGGGCACCATATTTTGGTTATCAAAAGGATTGTGATCATCTGCTCTCAGGGATTTTATTGAACCCAACACATTTGAGAGAGCTGAAGCTGCTGAATTCGTTCAAAATGAGTGACAGGACAGTGGAGATCATCTCTCAAATCTTAATGGACCCGGATTGTCGTCTCGAAAATCTCACGTTAGTAAAAATTTTTACTTTATTGTTATTAGTGGTCATTATTTATTGGAACAAACCACTAAATCTACTATTACACTTCTGCTTCATTTGTGTTAGAAAAAAAATTAAACCATGCACAAGCACTACTTTTTTGTCCCCCAGAAAATGTAGACATTTTGTTAGTATTATTATTTATTTATTTTTCATCAATATTGTGTTTTGTGCTCCCCAGTTTACACGGAATAGAAACCTTAGAGAGTTGTAAGATCTTGGCCGCAGCTCTCTGTAGCAGTTCTTGTCGTCTGCAAGAGCTGGACTTGAGCAGATGCTGTCAGAGTTCTGAAGATCAGGCTTTACAGCTTCTGTCGGAGGCATTCAGACACCCGAACTTCAAAATAACAGTTCTGAGGTAAATAAAGCAGTAAACAGGAACACAGATTGATTTGCTTAAAGCTGAAGTGTGTAATTTCTGCAGGTTTAGGTACTCAAACAGTTTTTTGATAATAGTTCAGAATCAACTATTTGTGTCCCTGCATAATAATCTGAGATAATATCTAAAGAATTGCACACTTTAGCTTTAATAGTCATAAAATACTAAGAATGTTTACATTTTGAGATTACAGATGACAGTTTCTTTTCAATTTTCCAAAATTCCACCACTAAGAAACTACTGTCGCGTAAGAATTGAAACACATTTTCCTGCACTGAAAATGTTTAGCACACAGTAATCTTATTCAGATTAACCTTTTACCAGCACATCAGTTAGATAATCTGGGTTGCCATAGTTAAAGGGGTCATGAACTGCATTTTTTATTTTTATTTTATAATATTCTCTGAGGCTCACCTATTATGTTAGCAAGATTTTTACATAAAAAAACATCATAATTGGAGTTTTTGACCCTCTCTACAGAGCGGTCTGTTTTTATAGGCGGGACTCCTTTCAAGAATCAGAAGTAAATGCCCACTGCTATAACTAATGGCGCTTTTCCACTGCATGGTACAGCTCGGCTCGGTTTGCGTTTCCACTGCAGTTTAGTACCGCTTTAGAGTGGGCGGGATTATAGACATGTCGTTATAGTTGAAAAAAAACTTTTTCATTCCGCGTCGTCCCATTAAGCTCCCGCTGGATCCGCTCCTCGGCAATCAACAAGAGGAACGTCTGTACTTCCTCAACAGACCACGAAACAGCCATTATTTTGTTAAAAAAAGGTGCGATCGTTCGAAACTGTTGCGTTCGTTCAAAAAAAGTTGGGGAAAAAAAAGCTGTTTTTGAACTAATGAGAATGTTTTGAGTTCTGAAACTTATGGGATGTTTTTATAGTACATTGACCTGTTACATGTCAAAAGATCAAGGAAAATTTAATTTCTCAGTTCATGACCCCTTTAATGTGCTGTGTGCTCATTTTTAAACAAGAATTATATTAAATCTACAGAGAAAAGTTTACATGAACTCTCCTAACTCTCTTTGCAGGTTGGAAATCTGTTCTATAAAGCATGAAACAGCACCAGCATTATTCTCTGCTTTTCAAGAGAACCCTTCACACCTGAGAAAACTTGAACTAAGTTTCTTTTTACCGTTGACTCTTGAACTTCAGCAACTTTTCTCTCTGCTGGCGGATCCTTGCTTCAAACTAGAGACATTGCGGATAGCTCACCTACGGTATGATAAGTAATCCAGAACAAAACCTTACAACAAACCAGCCTAAATTCCTTATCTTCTTTCTCCTGGTGTGTGTGAGAATTAGACTTTTTCAGACTTTTAATCTGTGACATCCAATCTCATTTTCATTTTTGAGAATTGGTTGCTCTTGCTTTGAACAAAATCCACCAATAGCAATACTGACCAATATTTATATCTCGTAATGGAACAAAACCCAAAAAAAACAAAAAATCTTAAAAGAACAGTAGTGACTGATATTTATATCTCTTAATTGAACAAAACCCAAAAATATTTAAATCTGTTAGTGGAACAATACAGAACAATATTTAAATCTCTTAATAGAACGAACATGCTAGACATCTGTAACGTGAGGAGGCGTGACAACGCAGTAGTTGATCCAAGTGCAGGCTTTATTCCAAAGAGTGGTCAAACAGGCAGGGTCACACAACTGCAAACAGGTACAATCAAGGGCGAGACAAAATAGTAATCCAGTAAACAGGCGAAGGTCAGGGCAGGCAGCAACAATCAGAAATCAGAAACAGTCCAGGGTCAAAAACAAGGCAAGACAACAAGGAACTAGGAAACACGGGAACTTGGGAACGCTACAGGCTAGACAATACCAGCCAGTGTGTGTGAGTGTGAGTTAGGGATGGCTGATGCGAAACTGACGTTTCGACATGGTGTCGAGATCCCGAAGCGCAGATGTTTCAAAACACTGCTCCGAATTGTGATACGAAGCACCCATGTCACGTGACTAAGGCAAATCAAAGCATTGGGGCGTTTTCGAGACCCGTATCTGCTTTTGATCGACAGGGTCTGGAACAAACCACACAATCGCACATCTGTCTTAAACTAACCCCCGCAAGTATAAAAGTGGAGTTAATGCAGCAGAACAATTAATATATTTAAATAAAAATCTTTATATGTAAAAAATGTCAGGCATTGTGGCTTGATGTCTTTTATTAATGTAAATTTTTTCCATGACCAAAATAACATATTCACAAAGAGTTCATTCAGTTGTCAGAGAGATGTTACAACACATTACAAGAACAGAACAATAAAAACACAACTTTCAAATATTTATTATAATTATATACGTACTTCACCCGGGATTTGAACCTAAAGTGACAGGTTCTAACAACATGCCAGCCATGCACACTAACCACTCCCCCAACCCACATGGTGAAATGACAAGCACAACATATACGTTATAATTCGTCAATTCGCTTAACGGATTCGTTGTCAATGCCGTTTCAGAGCAATACTTGAAAATTACCACTAGGTGTCACCGTAGAGACAGGTGTTGAATTGTTATAGTCCTTCTAATTGGAAACAGGTGGAGTCTGCTAACGAGTTCCTAGGCAGAGGGTTATGGGAAATGGAGTCCGGGGTTGAGTGGCAAGGGTAATGGATGGAGTGCCCTCTAGCGGAGCTCATGGGCACTCCAGCTGGTGATCGTAACAACAACACTATGAATACAATAAAACTAGACCTAAATCTAGAGGATAACTTTCATCATCGTTTTATATAATTTTGCCCCACACTAAAACTTGCTCTATGGTAAAGCACTAAAGCATTAACGATATAACAGTATGACTTTCTGTAAAACTGCTTTAAAAACACGAAACTGCTGCTCAGCCACCTGGAGCGTCTTGGGCTGAAAATCAATTTGGCCAAGAGCTCCCTGTCTCCCAGCCAGCAAGTCGACATGGTGTCGAGATCCCGAAGCGCAGATGTTTCAAAACACTGCTCCGAATTGTGATACGAAGCACCCATGTCACGTGACTAAGGCGAATCAAAGCATTGGGGCGTTTTCGAGACCCGTATCTGCTTTTGATCGACAGGGTCTGGAACAAACCACACAATCGCACATCTGTCTTAAACTAACCCCCGCAAGTATAAAAGTGGAGTTAATGCAGCAGAACAATTAATATATTTAAATAAAAATCTTTATATGTAAAAAATGTCAGGCATTGTGGCTTGATGTCTTTTATTAATGTAAATTTTTTCCATGACCAAAATAACATATTCACAAAGAGTTCATTCAGTTGTCAGAGAGATGTTACAACACATTACAAGAACAGAACAATAAAAACACAACTTTCAAATATTTATTATAATTATATACGTACTTCACCCGGGATTTGAACCTAAAGTGACAGGTTCTAACAACATGCCAGCCATGCACACTAACCACTCCCCCAACCCACATGGTGAAATGACAAGCACAACATATACGTTATAATTCGTCAATTCGCTTAACGGATTCGTTGTCAATGCCGTTTCAGAGCAATACTTGAAAATTACCACTAGGTGTCACCGTAGAGACAGGTGTTGAATTGTTATAGTCCTTCTAATTGGAAACAGGTGGAGTCTGCTAACGAGTTCCTAGGCAGAGGGTTATGGGAAATGGAGTCCGGGGTTGAGTGGCAAGGGTAATGGATGGAGTGCCCTCTAGCGGAGCTCATGGGCACTCCAGCTGGTGATCGTAACAACAACACTATGAATACAATAAAACTAGACCTAAATCTAGAGGATAACTTTCATCATCGTTTTATATAATTTTGCCCCACACTAAAACTTGCTCTATGGTAAAGCACTAAAGCATTAACGATATAACAGTATGACTTTCTGTAAAACTGCTTTAAAAACACGAAACTGCTGCTCAGCCACCTGGAGCGTCTTGGGCTGAAAATCAATTTGGCCAAGAGCTCCCTGTCTCCCAGCCAGCAAGTTGTCTTCCTGGGGTCAGTTATCATTTCGGCCCAGATGTTGGCCTGGAATACACCGGAACACTCTCCTCTCTGACAGTTCAGCGACTCGCAGCATCATTCAGATTTGGGACTTCTCATCCCCTCTGAGTTTTCCAGAGGATTCTCGGCCTCATGTCAGCCGCCTCCTCTGTGATTCTGTTGGGCCTGATTCATATGCGGCCCCTCTAATTTTGGCTCAAAGCCTGTGTACCCTTCCACGCTTGGCACCTGGGACATTTTCATCTCAAGGTAACCCACTGCTGCATCATCCCATTGGGACTGACCTCCAGAAGGATGGTAGTCACGACAGAGGCCTCCAACTTGGGTTGAGGAGCACTGTATGAGAGCAGACCAGCATCCGGCTCCTGATCCAACCAGGAGCAATGCCTGCACATCAACTGCCTCGAGATGATGGCGGTTTTTATAGCCCTGGAAACCTTCCTGCCAGCCTTAAGAGGACACCATGTCTTGGTCTGCTCGGACAACATGACGGTGGTAGCCTTTATAAATCACCAAGGCGGTATAAGGTCACACTCCCTTTACGGGACGGCGAGACGCATCCCGCTATGGGCTCACTGTCCAGGGGCAATGTAGCTCCAGGAGAATGGAGAGAGACTACACCCCCAAACGGTTCAAATGATTTGGTCTGTCATCGGGAGGCCAGAGTTGGACCTCTTCACCTCAGAAGACAACTCTCACTGCTCAAATTATTTCTCAAAGGAGCAAGATGCCCTGCCCACAAACGGCCCAGCACTAGCCTGTATGTCTTCCCCCCCGATTTACTTGCTTCCTAGGTCATCAGACGGGTCAGGGAAGTCAGGTGCTTGGTCCTCCTGGTGGCCCCACTCTGGAGGAATCAGACATGGTTCCCAGAGTTAATTCAGCTGCTATCGGCAGCTCCTTGGCCAATCCCATTGAGGACGAACCTCCTCTCTCAAGTGAGAGACATGATTTGGCATCCCCGGCTCGAGCTGTGGAGCCTTCATCCGTGTCATCTGTGTCATCCGTGTTAACCTTTCAGCAAGAGCTGCTGGATAAGGGGCGCACTCCTTCCACGCTCAAAGTATACATGGCAGTAAAGGACTAAAGGACTGCCAGTCACAAAGCAGAGACTCTCTGGATAGTTGACGCTCTAACCCTGGTTTACACCTCAGTGGGCTTACAGTGTCCTATCGGAGTGAGGGCCCATTCCACCAGAGGATTTGCCTTCTCCTGGGCTTGGTCCAGCGGAGTTTCTACTAATGATATCTGTGCGGCTGCTGGCTGGTCTTCGCCGTCTACCTTCACCAGGTTTTATAACTTGGACATCCCTGCCCTTCAGGCATGGATTTTGTCTGCCTAATTTACCTAATCCCCTGTGTAAGTGTAGAGGGTCTTGTTATGTAGACCCCAGCCTGGTGGCTTGGGTCTCATAATTGCCTCATGCTTTTAGGACCCCTCGTAAGGGCACACAGGGGCTGGGCTCGCAGAGTGGCTTCATTCTGCACTTGCTTATAGCACGGCGATATTGGATACGTTCCCCATAAGCATGTCAACGCAATGGGAGAGACCGTTCAAAAGCTAACACTCCAGTTACTAACGTAACCTCAGTTCCCAATGTAACCTCGGTTCCCTGGGATAAGGGAAAGAGCGTTGCGTAAGCTGCCGTGCTATAAGGCTTGCACGCAAGTCGATGACTATCACTATCAGTCAAAAGATTCTAATGAAGTGGCGCTCAGTGCCGACTTATATAGCAGTCAGCCCCACCCATTTTGGCTGGCTGAATAGCCATTTGTTTGTGCAGCTAGTAGTTTCCCCATAAGTGTGTAAACGCAATGATCGTTCCCTTATCTCAGGGATCTCAGATTACATTGGTAACTGGAGCGTTTTGTTACATTCAGCAGTTTTTCTGCACATTGAATATTACTGACAAATACGGATTTGATGGGAGAAACATACTAAGCTGGGAAACATGAATTTAATGTAACCTAATAAGAAAAACATAATAACCAACAATATGTGCCTATAAATGCCTTTATTTACATCATAGATAAATCGCATTAAGATGTTAGGGAACATGTGATGATTAAAATAGATTAAATCACTGTACCTTTTGGAATTATGTCATCAGACATTTAGGGCCTGATAACAGTTTGCACCAGCACAAACCCTCTTTTGGCATTAAAAAACTACTGTCAGGATTCACTAAAGACACACAGTGGAACATTAGTGATGAAAAGATGTGGATAAAGTTATTTTTGCAGCTGACCTTACTGCATATGCATTTGTAGGAATTTCTCTTTCAGGTGTAAAATGTATGTTTTTACCTTAGTAAATCATGCAAGATGATTTACTAAGGTTTACAGTAGTCACTTTACTGGTATTTGCATCATTATTTAACGTCTCATTATTAGCATGTCTTAACCCATTTTTCGCCTGTGCTGTTAATAGATTACACACACCTGATGATAATCGGCTCTCCTCTGACCCTTCGCTCTTTTGCGTTGCTCTTGGTAGATTGAGTTGGTCATTATGGAAATGTAACGGCTGTCCCTTAGTGTGAGTGTCCCAGGAATCACCATGTTATTACATATCATATAAACATTGATGAGATGGGAAGTGAGCTGAGAATGTCCACGGCTGAGAAAGACACCTAACAATGTAATGTCATCACATGTAAATGTAATGTTTTTGGTTTTTGTCTCAGTCAATTACAGGCTGATTCTCTTGAAACTCTGGCTTCAGTTCTTGGATCTTGCAGCCTCAGATCTCTGGATCTCAGCATGTGTGGCCTTACAGATTCTTCTGTGGAGCTGCTCTCTGCTGGACTGAGTAACCCTGGCTGTAAACTGGAGATACTCCGGTGAGTCTGAACAGAAAAGATGAAAATAGACTAGAATAGTAACTAAAGGTGTGCTTTTGTGTTTTCATTAAAACAGTTTTATTGATCTTAAATATTTCACATATACAAGACTGCCACGATAGATCATGGAACGGCACAAGGGAGAGAAAACACTTCTGTTTATCAAAGTGGATACAGATATCAGTGAATGCTAGTATTCTCAATATTATTGAAATGTTAATGTCAAATTGACTAATTGGCATCTTATAACTAATACATATATTTATAACAGATAATTTATAACATCAATTTTGGCTAAAAAAGATCATTATTGTGTTAGATGAGAAGGGCATTGAGTAGAAATTACAAAAAGTAGCTTTAAAAAGAAATTTTGATTCAAAATTGCATAAATAATGATAATAAATTGGTACATAAAAAAACAATATAAAAATATACATTTATTTAAAAAATGTAACTCTAAATATGAAACTAAAACCGGCAGTAGGTGGTGACAAGTCAGTGACTTAATGAGTGAGTCATTCATTCAACCGATTCATTCAGAAACAAAGTGAGTGGCCCTGTCAGGATCCGAACACCACGCTCCACACACACAAGACATCCCACAGACCAGAGAGTGCACGGCCCATCAAATAAATGCAGATTTTGAACCAGAAACTTCTTTCCAAAACATAAAAAATCTTACTGTCCTCAAACTTCTGAACGGTAGTGTATTTCAGCACTGTATGATGTAGGAATCAGTAAATATGAGCTCCTTTTCCCTGAAGGATGACACACTGCAGCATCACAGAAGCAGGAGCTGCTTGTTTGGCGAGGGCTCTCTCTTCCAACCCATCACACATGCGGGAAATAGACTTGAGCATCAATCCTGTTAAAGGCCCAGGATTTGACCAGCTCAGATCTGTTTTGGAAGATCCAGCAACCCGATTAGAGAAATTAACGTGAGTCTAGCAAAATAGTAGAAGATCTGTCTTTTTAATATTCTGGTAAAACATTATTAAAAAGAAACATTGTATCTGTTAATATTATTTAATGGACCTGAGCTAACATGAACAGTTTATTAAGAGTAACAACGGTTAATAAATAATGTATTGTTCATTGTTAGTTAACATTAGTTGATGCATTAACTAACATTAATTAATGAGACCTTATTATAAATTGTTACCACATTTATTTATATTATAAATTAAATTCTCTTCAAATTTGACTCTTTAACTAACATTTACCAACAGTGTGGATGGCCTAGAGGAGCAACGTGACATGGAAACTCTACAACAATGTTAGTCTGCTGTTTTCTTCTTAAATTTGATATTGAGAAATCAAATTATGCTATCATAACACTTTATTTTAATTTTCAGATGCGTGCCGGCTGACTTGGGATCCAAACACCACTTCTTCAAGTGTGCAGGAAGATGAGGCTCTTGTGGAGTATCGCAGAAACCCAGAACCTGTTCCACATCATCGAGAAAGGTTCAAAGATCAAGACCAAATCATGAGTCGGGAAGGTCTTAGCAGCCGTCATTTCTTCCAGGTGGAGTGGTTTGGCAGGTGGGCCACTATTGGAATGGCCTATAAAGACATAAGCAGGAAGGGAAGTTCAGCAGCCTGTAGCATTGGACTTAATAATAAATCCTGGGGCATTTTGGTGAACACCCCCTCTTCTCTCTGTAAAGCTCTTCATGGAGGAGTAGAGACGCAGCTTCCTAACTGCTCACCCTGGAGAGTCGGAGTCTATCTGGACTGGGCGGCAGGAACTCTGTCCTTTTACGACACCACACAAGACAAGGCTGAACTCATCCACACCTTCCATGCTAAGTTCACTCAGCCTCTCTTTCTGCTGGTCAGTATTAGTGCTGGAGTTAAGATCTTACCAGACGTGCCTCCTCCTGTCTGTGTCCATGACCACGATCCCTGGGATATGTTCAGGGGCTACAAGGACTGTAAGGGATGTAACGGATCAAAGGCTTGCTAGATAAACCGATGTGCTCTCCTTTTGTGGAACATCTGATGATAGTGTTTGTATCCATGATAATTTGGATTTCAAGGACATATTAGAAAAGGATTCATTAAATGTACTTTGACAGAGAGGGAGCAGTTGATCCGCTAGAGGGAGACATTCTCTTATGAAACCTGATCTTAAAGAAAATGAACATTCTGTCATCATTTACTCACCCTCATGTCATTCCAGACCTGTATGACTGGCTTTCTTCTGTGGAACACAAAAGTAGAAATTTTACAGAATACAAACAGTTTTGGTTCCCACTGACTTCCACTGTATGGACAAAAAACACAATGAAAGTAAATGGGAACCAGAACTGTTTGGTTCCCAACATTCTTCAAAATGTCATCTTCTGTGTTTCACAGGAAAAAGTAAGACATACAGGTTTAGAACGACATGAGGATGAGTAAATGATGACCGAATGATCATTTTTGGGTGAACTATCCCTTTAAGATCAACATTATTTAAAATATCTTTCGCAGTATAAAGTCAGTCAATCAGGTTTGCAATAACATGAGAACATTATGACAGAATTTTCATTTTCATTCATCAACTGTCTCTTTAAGTACAGTGAGGTGGTTTTTACCACAGTGATCTCAAATGAATATTTTACTGGATAGGTAACATTAATAACTCCACCCTACAACATATTTGCTGAATGAAATCCAATGCTTGTTTCTAACTTTTTTATTTTTAAATTGCAGCCGATTTTCACATCTCACATGCAAATGATTCTGAAGATATTATTTTATGCCTAATCCTGATTTCCACTTTTCCACTCCTTTGTAGATTGTAAGCAGAGGTGGAAAGTAACAAATTACATTTACTCGCGTTACTGTAATTGAGTAGCTTTTTTGTGTACTTCTTTTTAAAGTATTTTTTAAAATCTGTAATTTTACTTTTTCTTAAGTATATTTTGTTTGAAGTATTGTACTTCGCTACATTTTAAAACACGTTAATTACTGAGTAAAAAAAAATCGCCGCCTGGAAACTACTGCAGTAAGCAAACTGGCGCTAAAATCACAAGAAAGATGCAAATGGACAAGACAGGTGTTAGTAGTGCAGACCCAGCTGAAAACAAAACCCCGTCGTATTCTGCTTAAGTTGAACTCGAAGGAAATTAAGTGAATCCCTGGTCATATTTAAGCTCTATTATGCCGTGTAAAGCTGTGTTTGCCTAGGGAGACCAAACTAGCAGCTTATAAAATCTCGAAATCAATCCTTCGCAAGCATGTAGAGGTAAGCTAAATACTTGCATCGTTGCATTGGTGGTTAAAACGAAGCTGACAGTTTAGCAAAAGGTTTTGCACAAATTAGCCAAAGACAGTGGTGCAGGGTGTGCGATATACAGTATATCGTCTGTGATAATATCATAATTGTTGTTTTAGCGATGTGTGATTTGACACTATCAGTATTTAGCCAATAACCAAACCAAACACTCCTACACAGAGTGCCGTGAAGTCTAGACTAACGTTAGTGCGCGCGTGTATTTAGACTGCGTTCTTTCACTGCGTGATTCAGTCTGTTAAAATGCATTTAGAATGATCACAAAATTTAAGATATAGGGGCAGAAAATGTATATATTTATATAATTTCGTATAGTAAATCAATATCACTCACACAATGCCATTTTTCCTCCAAAAATCAGCATGATTACATATAGATTTTTTTTTACAACAGTTCAATAAA